AATCAATATGATATCAGAGCAGTCAGAGCAGTCAGAGCACCATTTATTTTCTATTTTTGATCTACGTACAACATATCAAATGTACATTTATATTTATGATTTAGCAGAACTGACTCTGCTGTATYGTTACTTTTTTAATTTTTTAAAGTGAATTCACCTAATATCAAAACTTAATTTAAGAAAATTACATGGGTCACTACATTGACTTTTTAAAGATATTTTAATTTCCATGTTGGTTATGAGTATTATAAAATATAATAATTTACACGTTCATATGTTACAGAGAAATTAAAGTATCATAAAATAGCTGAAGTTGCGGGTGCGCAGTTAGGTACGAACATTAGGTGTGTGCTAATGTTCATAACTTAAACTTTGATAATAAGTGAACTTTCTCTAATATTAAAAGTATCAACATAGGGTTGGGTTGTTGCTGTCAAACGTACATTTTAAATGTTGTGTGTAAGTCATTACAGAGAAAAAGAAGGTTACATTGAAATTCTTCTAAAAAACTTTTGTGGATTCATAATTAATAAAATGTATGGTGAAGTTTTGTTTACAATAAAATTATAATGTAAGTATACAATAAGTTAAGGCTCAGAGTAAATATGTGATTAATTTCATTATCTATAATAAATGTTATTATAATTTAAAAAACTAATACATTGTTAAAACATGACATTCCAGAATATTTGCATTTCATTGACAAGGTGATTAAAAGTTGGTGTATAGTTGTCACGACTGTTAAACGAAGACGTAATGTTTCATAAACGTTTATTATTGCTATATTAGTTATAATTTATAATATAATATTTGGAATTTCAGATTATTGATGAAAATTATTGGCAAGTGCAAATCACAGTCGTGACAATAAATGTACATAAAAAATATAAATCATAACAAATTACTGATGGGTCGACCGCGATCAACTTTTTGGCCACCACTGTAAACGAGAATTTAAAAGTTTTATAAAAAAATAAGTAATGGTATTGTAAAATATTACCAAATCCTTGCAATACATACCAATTTATAATATTTGTAGGTTTATCAATAAATTCGATACATAATATATATAATATTACCGTTTTTATACGAAAAACATTACCTAATCAACAAC